TGGATCCTGGCAGCTCTAGTGTTCCATGAAAAACACCTGCTCTGTTGGCAGCCAGGAAGGAGAGACCCAGAATAGCACAGGCTCACCCACTCACAAAAACACAGGAGCTCCCCTGTACTGTAGGCAAAGGAGGGAATGTCAGGAGACAGGCCTGGAGAAGCTCACTTGGAAAATTTACCCAAGCCCATCAAAAAGGACTTGAATTTCCTCTGTAATGGGAAGAGAATGAAATTCAACACCTTGTCTCAGAGGCCAGCTCTGGGCTCAGGAGGTAAGAATGCAAACTCACAGGAAGCATATATGCATGCAAGAGACTCGGGACTAGCCACCCATGAGCACCGAGGAAGGTTCCCTTGGCCACACTGTGATGGAACTGTTGAGGAATAGGCCATCACCTGGGCTTGGGAGGCTCCACAGCAAGCATGGCACTCAGCTCCAGGTGAATGGGGCAAGCTTTTGGAGATGACAGTATTGAGAGCAAAGATAGCAGCAATCAAAGCAAGCAAGCAAGCAAGCAAGCAAGGATGCCTATAAATAAGGAAATAAGGGGACAGAGGTGAGACCTGAGCCATGAAGACCACTTTATTAACCAACATGAATGATTCTCCTGTGTCTTCAACATTAGTGTATAAAAAAAAAAAAATAGTCCCTTGAGAAGTTCCTTAAGGAAAATGACCTATGGTCACAGAAGTCTGGGAAATGCTGCCTATTATAAGCCTCCTTAGGGATTCAAATGAACATTGGCCTCTGAGAGACCCTGAGGAGCTCTTCATGGAAGGAGAAAACAAAAACAAAAACAGTCTCAAGGTTTCCCAAACACTTTCCTTCAAGTCAGGCCTATTAGCATCTGCTGAGCTAGTGTTTCCTGGACCATAAAATGGTGACCCCTGTTCTACCCCAGGCATTGACACTTGACCTTTGCCTTTAGTAATGACATGGCTTTCAGAATTTTATAGTGAGAGATTTAGTTATAATTATACATGTCCGGTGATAAATGTTAGTTGTGAATTTTTAAATCCCCTTTTCTTAAATAACACACCAGTGGAAAACCCATCACGATTCTTAAATCCTAATTTGTTTTTCCAATTAGCTTTATTTTTAAAAAGAGCTTTGTTTTTATGGGTAGTTTGAACAGGATTAAGTAGAAAATATTAGAAAGTTCCCATGACCCTTCACCAGCATCCCCCAACCACAATGTTACAAGTGTTGTAGTGGCTCAACCTGCATCGGCATGTCGTTATGACCCAAGTTTATGGTTGCATTAGGACTCACACTTGATGTTTACATTCTATGGCTTTGAACCAGTGGATAGCAGCATATATCCACCATTTTGATATCAGGGAGAATAATTTCGCTGCTGTAAAAATTCTTTGTGCTTCACCTATTCATCCCTCCCTCCCCCAAAGTCCTTGTTGTTGTTCTTATTGTTAAATTTTACTGTATTTATGAGTAAAAGGGAGAGAGAGAGAGACAGAGAGAGAGGAGAAAGGGAGTTTCACTCTTCCACTCCCATGGCTGTTAAATCACTGGCTCAGGGCCTGGGGTTGTGGCTCAGCGGTAGAGTGCTTGCTTCTCACGTGGGAAACTCTGGGTTCGATCCTCAGCACCACATTAAAAATAAATAAGTGAAATAAAGGTATTGTGTCCAACTACAACTCAAAAAATTTTAAAAATTATTTAAAAAAATTATTGACTCATTCTTTACAAGAGGATTTCTCAGCCTCAGCACTGTTGACCTTTTAGATCAAATATTTTTTTTGCTGTGAGGGGGCTGTCCTGTGTCTCATAAGATGTTTTAGTACCATCCTTGGCCTCCACCTGGGGGAGACTATCCTTCCCAAGTAGTGAAAATCGAAAAATGCCTCAGACATTACCAAATGTCCCCTAGTGCAAATCATTCTCATTGAGAACCCCTGGTCCACACGGGACACCCAAACTTTGTCAGAAAAATCTCAAAAATGTTTGTATGTCATCATTTATTTCTGAAACATTTGATCACCTAAAATGTGTGGTAAGGAGAAGCAAGGCTAAATACTAAAGGCTGAGGAGTTACTGCAAAGACTCTAGAGGATGACCAAGAACATAGACTTTTCTCTTTTTTTTTTTTTTTTTGTTTGTAGTACTGGGGATTGAACCTAGGGGTGCTCCATCACTAAGTCACATTCCAGCCCTTTTTTATTTTTTGTTTTGGAGACAAGGTCTTGCTAAGTTGCTGAGGCTGGCCTCAAACTTGCCATCTTCCTGCTTTAGCCTGCTGAGGCACTGGGATTACAGGTATGTGCCACTGTACCTGGCAATAATGTGGATTGTTAATCTCGCACAACAACTTGTGTCACCCTTTGGCTGGACAGTACCTTAGTAAGTCAGATTATAAAGCTGAAGAAAAAGGAAGAGGTTGTTTTCCCTCAAGGCCTGAAAGGAGAGTTCCGGGACCCATGTTCTGAGGTTTCTTTACGGGTCCTCTCTAGAGCTGAAAACAGATTGGTGCTATTTAGATGTTCTATAAATGTTCATCAAGGGGGAAATGTCTGCTCTCTTTAAGAATTAAAAGCTACTACTTATAGCCAGATAGGAGAAATAAGTTCTGATGTTTTATCTTACATAAGGGTGATTACTAGGGGCTGTGTGTGGCTCAGTGGTAGAGTGCTCGCCTAGAAAGCTGGAGCCCTGGGTTTGATTCCCATAGCCACAGAAAAGAAAAAAAAAAAAAAAGAGGGGTATTATTGTGATAATTGTCAACAAAATTATATTATATAACTTAAATTAGCTAAAAGAGGATTTTGAAAGTTCTCATCACGAGAAATGATAGATGTTTGAGATGATCAATACACAGGGTACAAATGTATCAAAACATCACACCATACCCCACTGTTAGTTAGCTTTTTGTGCTGTGACCAAAATACCTGACAAGAACAACTTAGAGGAGGAAAAGTTTATTTTGGCTCACTGCTTTGGAGGTTTGGTCCATGGCAGACCAATTCCATTGTTCTGGGCCCAAGATAAGCCAGAACATCATGGTGGAAGAACATGATGGAACACTGCTCTGTTGTTCATGGCCAGAAAGCCAGGAGAAAGGGGGAGGGGCCACAGAGCATGTCCCCAGTGACCCACATCCTCCAGCTACTCCCCACCTACTATAGTTACGATCCAGTCAGTCCATTCAAACTAGAATGTTTTGTACAGGTTAGAGTACTCACAATCCAGTCATTTTACTTCCAAACATTCCTGCATTATTAACACAGGACTTTTGGGGGGACACCTCATATCCAAACTAAGACAATCACAAATTTGTATAATTATCATCTATCAACTTAAAAAAATTAACATTTGACATAACCATCTTAAACTCTAATATTATTCTAATAAAACTCTACTTTTATTTTTTTATTTAAAGTCTACTTTTTAAAAAAGATCCTATTAGAAATTTAGAATCCGATACTTCTAGTCCCATAAACTGTGGTCAACCTTGAAAGCAAATATTAAAAGCTAGATGAATACCCAAAAAGGTTATCTGGGAAAAAGGGACTCTTGTCATGTTATTCATCAATAAAAGAAAAACAGATGTTTTTCTTATGGTGCTGGTGATAGAACTCATGGCCTTGAGTATGTGGAGCATGCTCTCTACCATGAGCTATGAACAGCCCTCAAAAATTGTTTTTCAGTGATATCTTCTTTCTCTTAAGATAAAGTCCCAAATCCTCAGTCCTTATCATGGCCTCCAAAACCCTGCATGATCTGATTCCTGTCCATCTTGCCAGTCTCTTTGCATAACACTCTTCCCCAACTCCACTCCATTTCTCAGTCAGATTGGCCTTCTGCCTCCTCAGGGCTTTTGCAAACATAATTCCCACCACCTATAACACTTCCTGGCATAATTATCCCTTTTAGCTTAGTCTCTTCAGACAGCTATAATAAAATGCCATTGACTAGGTAACTTACAAGCAACAAAAACTTCTTTTCTCATAGTACTGAATGAAGGCTGGGAATCCAAGGTGAAGGCCCTGGCAGAATCCATGTCAATGAGGGTCCAATTCTTCTTTCACAGAGGTACTTTCTCACTATGTCCTCATGTTGTGGAAGAGACTTGGAGAACTCAGGAATCTCTTTTATAAGGGCACTAATCCTATTCATGAGGGCTCTACCCTCTTGGTTTAGTCACCTCCTAAATGACCCACTTCCTAAAACTATCACCTTTCTGGGTTAGAATTTCAACATATGAATTTGGGCAGGGGATACAAACATTCAGAACATAGCATTCCTGTGGCCACTTTAGGTCTCGGCTTTAGTGTTGCCTCCTTACCCCCAGTGTTCAGGTGTATCTGTTATATTCTGTTATATTCCCGTTACACTATAGTTCCTCATTCCTATATTTAATTACAAGTCCTCAACACTCTGTAGACTTGTTACCAACTAATCATTAGTGACAACCTAATTTTTGTCTCCTTCACCTCCATGTACTTGTTATAGAATGTTTCCAGCACCCAAGAGTACCTGGCACAGACTAGGTGCTCATAAATCATCTGGCTGTCTGGTGGTGGTAGGGCATTCTTATTTGGGTTTCCGGTTTTGATTTTGGCTAAATATGGGGCAAAAATAGATACTTTCTTCATTAACTCAGCTTGTGTTTATCTAGTTTCTGAGTCCAGATTCCTAATTTTTCTCTTTGTTCTCATTTTCAACTTTTCCCAAGGATCTTCCTTCATATCGGTCTCTGAACACCCACCCTTTAAAATTGTTTTTCAATCATACTTCTATTTCCCATCCCGATTTCTGTTTTCTTTCTTCCCAAGGCTATTTGAGCTAAATCTGATTCATTTTACTCAATATTCTCGTTGACAGTGGCAGCACAGTATTTCACCACATGGAGGTACCATGGTGGATTATGTAAGCATTCTCTATTGAGGGCATTTATGTTGTTTCCAACTTTCCGAGGGGGGAATACCACAATAAGGATCTTCATGACATACATTTTTCCACATCTCATTCTTCTCTCAGGATACATTCCAAGGAATAGAGCTGCTAAGTGAAAAGGTATGCACATGTTTTAAGACTAAGAGCATATTTCATCCAGATTTGTCCCATTATATTTCAGCTTGCTTCCCACACTCAACTCAGCGTTCATGAGAATTATCCTACCCGACTCTAGGCCCACCCTTTATTTTTTCTGTGTTTGCTCCTTTTCTGGCTTCATCTATTAACTTCCTGTTTCTTACTGCTTGCCATTTGGCAACCACATTGCTTGATTTCCATGTCTCTGTTCTCACTGATGGATTTGTACATTGAATAAATATTTATTGAGCCCCCACTATGTGCCAGAAACTGTGCTTGGCAAAGTGAAGTACACAAACAACCAAATCATAGCAGAATGTGGCCAGTGCTCTGAAAGATACAAAGGGAATACAAAACATAAGAAATTGGGGTATGTTGATAATTTTGATAATTATTAGGAAAGTTCTTTCTGAAAAGATGAAACCTGAAGACTAAGAAGAACCAACTGTGGTCAGTGATGTTGCTTAGTGAGCACTTGCATAGCATGCATGAGGCCCTGGGTTCCATCACCCCAGCACTGCAAAAGAAAGAAAAAAAGAAAAAGAAAAGAAAGAAACCGACCAGCCAATAAGTACATGAAAAAATTTCAACATTATTAGTCATTAGGGAAACATAAATCAGAAGCTCAATGAGATACCACTTCACATTTACCAGGATGACTATAATTAAATAAAAGGAGGTGGGGAGCAAAATAAGTGTTGGCAAAGATGTGAAATGCTTATGGGAATGCAAAATGATGCAACTGCTGTGGGGACAACTAGGCAGAGCCTCAAAAAGTTGAGCCTCGGGGCCGGGGATGTGGCTCAAGTGGTAGCACGCTCACCTAGCATGCGTGAGGCACTGGGTGCGATCCTCAGCACCACATAAAAATAAGATAAAGATATTGTGTTCACCTATAACTAAAAAATAAAAATAAAATAAAGATATTGTGTCCACCTAAAACTAAACTAAAATAAAATAAAAAAGTTGAGTCTAGGTTTACCATACAATGCAGCACTTCGTTTTTAAGTGTCTATTGAAGAGAATTGAAAGCATACACAAAAATTTGTACACAAATATTTATACCAGCATTTTACATAAAAGTCAAAAAGCAGAAACAACTCTAATGTTCACTGACTAATGGACAGATAAAAAGGGTGGTATTTCTAAAAATGGAATATTATTTAACCATAAATAGGAATAAGGGATTAGTATATGCTATAACAGGAGTAGACCCTGGAATCATTGTGCTCAGTGAAAGAAGCCAGATATAAAAGTCCACAAATTGTGATTTCCTTTATATGAAATATCCAAAAGACGCAAATCTGCAAAGACAGAAATGAAGTAGTAGTTGACACAGAGTAGGAGAAGGGGAGAAAGAGAAGTGGCTGCTTTTAATAGATATGGAGTTTAGAGATGGGTGATGAGAATGTTCTGGAATTAATAGTGATGCTTGCCCAACATTGTGAATATGCATTTTAAAAGCACTTAAAATTGTGAATTTTGTTATGTGAATATCTTTGGGGGGAATACTGAGGATTGAGCCCAGTGGCACTCTACTACTAAGCTACAGTCATAACCCTTTGTAATTTTAATCTTGAGATAGGGTCTCACTGAGTTGCCAAAGCTGGCCTCAAACTTCAATCCTCCTGCCTCAGCCTCTTGAGTCACTGGGATTACAGACATGTACCATCATGCCTAATTATGTGAATTATTTTTTATTGAGGTGAAATTCACTTGATGTAAAGGCTGGAATTGTGGCTCAGTGGCAGAGTGCTTGCCTTGCACATGTGAGGCCCTGGATTAGATCCTCAGCACCACATAAAAAAATAGACAAATAAAAATAATGTACTGATATATTAAAAAAAATTCACTTGATGTAAAATTAACCAGTTTTAACGGTACAGTTCAGTAGCATTCAGTGGCATTTAGTACATTCACAAGAAATATTAAGGAAGACTACATTCATATACAATGTATGGGCAGGAGGTCAGCCTTCCAGTTGCCATTTTTCTCATTTACTCAAAGAACCTTTCCAGGAAGTGTATTAAGAAAAATTACTGCCAGGATCTTCATTTTGCTCAGATGGGCAAAAACTGTGATTATCCATTTGGAATTATTTTATGCTGTTATGAACTAAATGATCTTCTGGATATCTAAAGTAGGGGGAGGTGGTTGTATTAGTCAGCTTCCATCACTGTAATGAAATATCTGAGGTAAGGAATTTATAAAAAGGAAAATTGTATTTCAGCTCACAGTTTTGGAGTTCCAGTCCATGACTGATTGGCTCTGTAGTTTTTGGCCTATGGTGGGGCAGCACTTCATGGTGAGAGCCGGTGGAAGAACAAAATCATTCACAATATGCACTGGAGAGCAAAAAGAGAAAGAGGAAGGGGCCAGGGTTTCACAGTTCACTTTGAGGTCATGTGTCCAATGCCCTAAAGACCTCCCGCCAGGCTCCACCTCTTAAAGGTTCCACAACTTTCCAATTCACATAAGGACATATGGATCTTTGAAGTAAATTCACCACCCAAACTACAGCAGTCACCATCAATCAGAATCAGTATAATAAGTCTAGAGGGACAAGATTCTTATAACCAAGCTGAGGTGAGAGTGGATGAAGAGCAAGACCAACGCAAGGAACAGGTGTTATCAAATACCAGAATTCACAGGTGCACATACATTGATATTTATACAACTTTACGCTTTCTCTTTTCTTAATATGCTCACACTTCCAACACTACCTAATACTCCATTTTCTATTATGGTCTCCTAAGTAAGACAGTTTCTTTGTAATCAGAGACCATTTTTCTTGTGCATTCTAATAATTCACCCTCTGCTTGAAATAAGATGATAAATAACATGTACACAATGAAAAATGAGGTTGTTTATTCATCCTTTCATTCCTTTAGCCAACCCTCCATGCAGGAAAGTAATACTGAGCTGCAACTATATAGGAGACACATTTAATAAATAGGAAAATGCTGCCAGGCTTGATAGTAAATGCCTGTAATCCCAGCGACTCAGGAGGCTAAGACAGGAGGATCACAAGTTTGAGGCCAGCCTCAGCAATTTAAAGAAGTTCTAGGTAACTAATGAGACTCTCAAAAAATAAAAAGGGACTAGGGATGGTTAAACAGTGGTTAAACACCCTGGATTCAATCCCGGGAAAAATAAATAAATAAATGCATGCATACATACATACTTACATACATACATACATACCTTGTTTGATTGCTTGGTTGAAGAATCACAACAGTAGCATCTGCACAGAAATCCAATATGACGGCCAGGCAGGAAGACAAAAAAGCAATCTCTTGCATGAGGTGGGAACAGAGGCATCCACTGTGAATTTTTGGAAAAATATAAAAGATAGGTCATTCTCTAGGAGAGAAAAGGAGTCTGACAAGCTTTACCCCACCCCACCTCCAGTATAGAGAATTGAACCTAGGGGTGCTCTATCAGAGCAACATCCCCACCCCTTTAAATTAATTTTATTATTATTTTTTTCATTTTGAGAAAGGGTCTCACTAAGTTGTCTAGGCTGGCCTTGAACTTGAGATCCTTCTTTTTTTTTTTCTTTTTTTTTATTGGTTGTTCACAACATTACAAAGCTCTTGACATATCATATTTCATACATTAGATTGAAGTGGGTTATGAACTCCCAACTTTACCCCAAATGCAGATTGCAGAATCACGTCGGTTACACATCCACAATTTTACATAATGCCCTATTAGTAACTGTTGTATTCTGCTACCTTTCCTATTCCCTACTATCCCTCCTCCCCTTCCCTCACATCTTCTCTCTCTACCCTTCTGTCTCGGGCTCTTGAACTCAGGGACACTCAACCACTGAGCCACACCCCCAGCTTTATTTTATGTTTTATTTAGAGACAGGGTCTCACCAAATTACTTAGCACCTCACTTTTGCTGAGGATGACTTTGAATTCTCAATCCTCCTGTCTTAGCCTCCCGAGCCACTGGGATTACAGGTGTGCTTCACCGCACCTGGCTCTGACAAACTTTTATATTCATGTGAAGCTCTTCTAATACTTGAAAGGCAATTTGGGGAAATTAGCATACTTCTGGGTGGTGACCTCTGTGTCACATAATCTGTAAATATATTTTTCAGATTGAATAGGATCTTAATTTTCAATAACAGGTTTTTAAACTGCAAGGTTAGTAAGTACTTTGGGTGAATAACAGGTCTGAAGAAACTATGCAATCTGTAATTTGCTGCCTCAAATGTGCACTATAGTTGCTATCAACTATTCCAGTTATAATCTGCATAGGAGAAAAGTGTATGCCAGCTCAGTCATTTAAGATTTATTTTTGCTGTTGTTCTTGTTTATTTGTTTGCTTTTTTATGGTAGGCAAGTTATTTTTGCTTCACTGTCCCTCAATTTCTGGACCTGTAATATGAGGATGACAAATGTAACTGAGGAATAGAGTTGCTGAGATTATCTGAGAAAATGCATATACAGTGCCTGAAGAACACTGGCTGGTGTACAGTGAACACTTAACAAACGTTACCTTTTATTATCATTATTAAAATTCATACAAACTGACACTTAATTCAAGTTTGCCATGACTATTTAGTGCTTTTAGTAATACCATGTTATTTTCAAAATTATCATAGGATAATATATCATTTTTTGGACGAATACCAAATTCTTCAAAGAAAGAGAAATTTGGATTTTTCAATGAGTTTGATTTCATGATAAACATTGAAACCAGTGAAAGGTTTGAAGTGACTAAATTTAATTCTTACAAGAATAACTTCTGATGGGAAAGCTATGTTATTCTGGATCATGGAGAATGTGAAGGAAGTGTGGTGGATCTGCAGAGATCCAGAAAAATACCTTGCAAGTAGAGCCATGTAGAAATCACAGCGAGTAGGATATATGCAACTACTGGAACAGGGCTTTGCTTGATGCTTTG